ACAATTAGTAATCACTTATTGCTTTGCAGGTGTTTTGACACGTTACTTGATCTACAAGTCCACTGTGGGATTAAAAAGAGCTTCATCTTCTTTCTTTTACACCTACTGAGTGCATCTCAACACCTACAAGTGTTTCCTGTTATTGTCTCCAATTAAAGGCATGCTGAATAGAGTGTTGTGTTAGGGGGACAAATGTAGAAAAGAGGAAGGCAGGGAAAAGCCACATAGTACAGCCCAATATTAGTTTTGTAGTAGAATACAGTGTGATTCAAAAAAGATGGTGCAAAAGTAAAGCTGATTTAATCATAATGGAATGAACTTAACTCAACTGTATTAACATAAAAAGACACATCAACTGTCCAAGTTTTACCTCTGCAATACAAATGTTCGATGTGAGCCCAGTTGGTGATATGACAGATGACAGATTATTGCCGTTTACCATTGCTCTCACTCTCTCTACAAGTTTTTACTTTAGCACCATGACAATGGTATAAGGTCAATTGTTGAAAATTATGAAAGCAACAAATCTCAAGTTATTGTGTGTTTATTTGCATGTCCATGTCATCATCAACAGAGGTATAGTGTAGTGCTATGTACACAAGATGGAGACACTGAAGAAAGAGAGAGTTGATTTAATCATAATGGAATGAACCTAACTCAACTGCATTAACATGAAAAGACACATCAACTGTCCAAGTTTTACCTCTGCACTGCAAATATTCGATCTGAGCCCCATTGGTGACACAACAGATGTCAAGACAGTAATCCAGTTCTGTCCACACTTGTGCCAGCATGTCCTCAGATATTGACTCCACTTCTTCTGTGATGCAGCGTCTCAGGTCATTCAGGTCCTGTGCATGGAGGTGACATACATTAAGTCCTTTGTGTACCCACACAAAAAGAAGTCGCAGAGTGTTATGTCTGGAGGTCACAACCCCCCCACCCATCCCCCTCCCCCCGAGCAGCATTGGTGAATCTCCTGCATGGCAACAGCTCCCATTTATGCAAATTCCAAAACACTAAAGGCTCACTCTTTCTTCAGTGTCTCCATCTTGTGCACCACACTATACCTCTGTTGATGATGACATGCGAATAAACACACAATAACTTGAGATTTGTTGTCTTCATAATTTTCAACAATTGACCTTATACCATTATCATGGTGCTAAAGTAAAAACTTGTAGAGAGAGTGAGAGCAATGGTAAACGGCAATAATCTGTCATCTGTCATATCACCAACCGGGCTCACATCGAACATTTGTATTGCAGAGGTAAAACTTGGACAGTTGATGTGTCTTTTCATGTTAACAAAGTTGTGCTAAAATCATTCCATTATGAATAAATCAGCTTTACTTTTGCACTTACCTTTTTGAATCACACTGTACTATAAATTGGAACACAAGACACTTTGAGGGGGATTTATTAAAACTGGAGCCATCAGAATCTGATGCATTTGTGCATGGTTGTCAATCAGCTTCTAACTTCAGCTTGCTCAATTTAATAAAAAAACCTGGGAGCTAATTGGTTTCTATACAGAGTTGCACCAGGTTTTGCACCATGCAGTTTTAGTAATTCCCCCATGCAATATTTGAAAATAGTGCCACCAGTTGAGGAATACTAGTGACTAGTATACCAGAATACTCTCTCTCTCTATACTCTCTCTCTCTCTCTCTCTCTATATCATATGGGTGTATGAATTTCAGCACAATCAGTTCTGAGCTTTTCTTTTTCCACATGGCAAAAGAACAATTATTTTATCAGGAACATGCACAGAGAACAAAAACATCTCACCATAGTAGAAGTAGAGAACAGCGGGCTTTTGGCAATAGCCAAATCCTTTAGTCAGCGATGAGCTGCCTGTTTAAGGCAAAATTACATGACAATATTGTAAATAATTTTGTTTTAACATACAAAAAAAAAAACAGGAAAATAATTATCAAAGCGTAACTCCTAATCCAAACATTTTTTCATTTGTATAAACCAGAGGTTTAGAAAATCTGTGGGGTGTTCAGTGCTCTCTCTGTCCACAATAGGGAAAGTTACCCACACTTCCTGTCCTGGGAATACAGTATGAAGTGATTTGAAACCTCCTATATAAAAGGAGAAATCCCACCTGTGACAATGATTCATGGACAAAGATGGTAATTTGGGGATTTGCTGGGGAAATCTGGAGAGTTGGGGAAATCTCCCCAACAACGGTGCATACTACAGTAAAAATTTACAGAGATTTTAAACTCTAACAATTTCCAAATCCAATCAAAACTCAAATATTTAAAAAAAATGTTTTTCTGATGAGTTGTGCTGAATATTTTTCAGTATACCAGTTAGCAGAGCTCTGTATCTCTCATGCTCACTGTACTAATTTTAGACAAACAAAAAGAAATCTCTAGCAGTAATAACCTGCTTTAGTGAAACTCAAATTTTTTGGGATCACCCACAATCAGGGGCGGATTGACCATTCGGACACTGCCCGAGGGCCTAGGGTCAGTAGGGGGCCCCATGAGACGCCCCTGGTACCTTTCATAGGCTTTTTTGGGTGTGGTTTAAGTGTGGACGAGGAAACAGGGGCCCCATGATCCCCTATTGCCCAGGGGCCCCATGAGTTGTCAGTCTGCCCCTGCCCACAATGCAGTGAATAGTGATGATTTGCATGTTGAAAGAAGGTAGACATACTCCTCTGTTAATGGCCACCATTAGACTGACAGATTTTTGTCATTCATAAGGCCCAGGCTACATATTTTTTACATGCATTACACAAGAAAAGATTTGGGAAAAAGTTCTTGCATACATCTTTTTAAACAGATGAACAATGATTTAATGAAAATATTATTAGGACACCTGTGTGAACTAGTAGACCTATTATTACCTTCTTATGTCCCTGCTCGGGTCCTATGAGAATTTGTAAGCCAGGAAGTAAGACACGCCATTGTTATGCGCCTTTCCCTACATAAACTAATCTTATTCTAATTTGAGGGTTTTGATTGACCAGGTAGCATGTGTGTGGGCATCTACTACCTCTTCTTACTATTGTCTGCCTGTGTCTGTACATTTCTCTTGCTGTGCTCCCTAACTTGCTCATTTGCTGTTTGTGTGGCCTCTTGTGTCTCCACTCGCTTGTGGACTGTCCTTCTGCAGTGTCTCACACTCGTTCCTCTTCTTTTTGTTTATTATTCTGCAGACTATCTTATCCTCTCTTGCTGTGTCTTTCCAGCCTCTTGAGCTTCGGCCCCCAGCTATTTGATATCTTCATCCAAGATGTACCAGTTATGTAAAGGTAGCATTAGAAATATTTCTATGCATTCTGTCTTAAAAAATCCTAAAAATGAAATATATGTATTAGTATCTACTACCAAATTAAAGCCTTGTCTGTCTCAAATAAGATGTATACCATATAGGAGCAAACTATAAGGTGAAAAAGTATTTAGCACAAATCTAAAATCGTTAAAAAATGATGAAAAAGTAAAAAGCTATGCTCTATATCTTATTTATGAAGCAGGGTCTTATTTATGCTTTGCTTAAGAATTTGGATATTGAACTAAGTGAGAAGTACTGTTAGGTTCTGCTCTGCAGAAATTCAGACAATGGGGGAGAGTTACTAAGGCCTGGATCACACCAATGTGTTTTCTTAGTTCTTTTTGCAGAAACGCACTGCAGTCCATTTAACATGGTTTCCTAAGGGACACATTCATATCTATGCTTTTCTGAGTTGTTCCTTTCTTAAGAAAGTGTCAGGAACTTTTTAAATGCAAAAAGAAGCCTTTTTGCTACAATAGAGTTCAATGGAGATGCTGTTGAAATGCATGCAGTGCGCTTTTCCCGCATTTTTGCTGCATTGTGCGTTTATATTCTGCCCAAGATCCAAAGCATTTCTTTAACAAAAAACATAGAAAGCTGAAAAAATGCAAAATATGTTAAAAACACGGCAGACACACGTATGTAAAACCAAAAAGCCAAATGAAAAAAGCATTGCAAAAGAGGACAAAAGCAAACTGCATTAGTGGGAACCAGGCCTTATGCTGGACCCTGCAAAATCTAATGCAGCTCTGAATAGAAACCAATCAGCTTCCAGGTTTTATTATCAAAGATTAATTCAACAAGCTGAAGTTAGAAGTTGATTGGCTACCATGTACAGCTGCACCAGATTTGCACGCTCCAGTCTTAGTAAACCTCCACCAGTGTGTTTTTTTTGTAAAACAATAAAAAAATGGAATTTAAGAAAAAAAGAAACAAAAAATATGGGTTTATTTGGGACTATGCTGGTTTTCTCTCAGAATGCAGAAATCCATAAACTAGATTAGGGATTAAGATTTTAGTAATATGTGTTGATGAATATGAGCAGAAAGGTGATAAAGATAAGGTACTACTTAAATCTTCCACTACTTCTCCAGTGCTAGAAATACACATCTGAAAGATTTTTGTGTTATAGTCCACCCTAGCACTTTATTTTGTAACCTTTGCAATGGGTAATTGAAGGCTTGGTAATTATAACCCTCTTATTTAATTGTAATGCATATGGTAATGTTATAATCTGAAGGCATGGGACATCACACTGCAATATGCTGTTTCATTGTCTTTAAATTAGGCTTTGCCAGACAGTGGCAATGAAATTCTTTAGTGGTGTGCAGGATTAAATCCAGATGTCAAATGATACTTACTTTCGGCAGCATAAATGTTCCTAGGATAAAAAATGCATTGTAAACCCAGCATTAGTCTTAGTGCACCTGTACTTGCATTATTATGTGGGTACCGAAGCCATACTAATATTGTGAGAGCAGAATGGAGGAATTGATAACATTTTATTGCAACGCATACTAAAACATTTTATTTGATTGTAAAAAAAAAAAATAATAATTTTTGACAACATCGCTGTATATTACTTTAGTGTAACCTGGTTCTCCTTATTATCTGCAGTACATCACTAACACCGATTATGAGATTTCAACTGCAGTAAATGAATATACCAAATCGTTATTTTTTGGCCACGGAAAGGAAGCTATGACTGGAACGTATGAAGGTTCAGCTGACATTTATTCCACAGTCCAAACTATGCCCCCTGTGGCATTCTACAACAATGCAAATGGTGACACAGGTAATGTGTAGCTCACGTTTTCAAGTAGCTAAAAAAAACTCCTTGTAATAGCTAATTTTGTAGAGTTGTCAATAACAGTTGATTGCTCTTTTTTTTGTTATTGCTTCCTAAAAATGTTTTACAGCATATGGCATTGCCACCCACAAAGGTTACACCATTTTGTCACACTGCTGACCTCCTGTATTAAAAAAAAGTCACACCCTATAGCTCCCAGGCAAGCTGCATAGACAATCAGTTATTACAGTTGCCACAGCAGGTGTGACTGTAAGGGATTAGCGTATCACCTACTGCAGCCTACAGAACTTCAGCAGGGGAACATTTGACTAATGGCTCTTCAAGTGTCACTATTACAGTCAAGTAGGTCAAAGTGTTACAAGACCAGCGTGTGTGGAGTCAAACAGGTGCAGCTGACCTCTATGACATGACAATACCACTATGACAGGGCTACAGCCAATAAAAGAGCTTGCCCTCCTTCTGAGAGATGCACTTTATGTGTATACAAACATTGTTGGCTTGACAGATATATGTTTCAAAAATATTGGAACAGTATTAGGTGAATGAAAAGTGACACTTTAAATGCCTCTTTTTGTTAAAGAACATTAAGCTGGTCAATGACTTGGCAATTTTAGCTTTCTGTTGGCTTTTATAAGCACTTGCAATCCATGGTTTTGGCCTTTTCTGGTCTTGAGAACAATTTTGTTTAAAGTAAACATACCACTTAAGCAGCACATGTTTATCAATTTCCAATGCAAATTCAATCATCTGGTCAATCCTTGTTCACATTGAATATTCCCAGCTGACCATTTTTATTCCCATCTGACAAGGCTGGTGCCAGGTATACAACAATTACAATTGTAAATACAATTTTTGATCATGCAAGGTGTGCAAGGTGTTTATGCATTTGTAGTTAAAACAGTTGCTTAGAGGATGAGTAATGGAATTATCTAACAGAAATCTTATGTCTAAAGCCAGCTTTATAGTGCATGGACTTTATATAAAACAAACACTCCCAAGGGTACTTAGAGAATATTTGTTAATATAAAAGAGTATATAATACACATTTAGCTAATCAAATCTGTTTAGTGTGTGTATGTTGAGCTCCATATTTAACCTTCCATAACTTCCATAGTCCCTGCTTTTTTCAAATACACTATTTTGAAGGATTCTGACTGTTTGCAGAAACCCTTTCCCTATATACTTTATCGCACACCATGCTGCCCTTAATTTAGCATGTTTGCCACTAACCTTAGAAATTTGACATGAGTCCCAACATTAAACTTGCTATGCTAAACACCTTTCTAATCTAATTTTTAACATTTTACAGGTGTGCTAGTCAATGTTTTTATAGTTGGTTTTAAAAACACCCTGTTGCCAGACCATTAATTTCAGTAAAAAAATCTTCCCATAAGATTATATGTGCATTTCACATATTTTATGCATTGTATTTGCCTGTAAAAGCCATCTTTGTGTAGACATCCAAAACATCATCACTGAAATTGCCTTGGGCACTAGTATCTTGAATGTAATGTCAGCAGCACCAGCAGACACTGAGCTGTCACCTAGTGATACTCTTCACTTCTCCTGGCAGCTACATAACAGGCTAGGTAGGGAAAAAATAAGTATGATGGAGGAGCTGGGCCAGTACAGAGAGTAATCAGACCTTCCCGGAAGAGGAGAGGGCTATAACATGCAAGGAGGGAGGGGGCTGTAGTAGGAAATTGACCCTCCCTGGAGTAGTCACATTTTCTAGCAAAAGGTATGGAAAGGAAAAACACTGCTACTTTACTTTTAAAGTACTTGACTTTTCAGTGTTTTTACCTGCATTTTTTAAGTTAATGACAGAACCCCTTTATATTTTAATGGTAATATACAATGATAACATTATTTACTTTAAGTTTATCATGATCACATATCTATGAAGATACTTTTGAAAGGTTACAATAAGATGCTCCTCACTGAAAATGATAATTATTTGTATAGAGCAGGGATCTCCAAACTTTCCAAAACAGGACCATTTTTCTTTTGTTCAGACTTTGATGGGCCAGAGTGTGGTCATTGAGAGCAGAATATTCCCCAGCGTCAGTGGGAGTAAACATTGCCTCGTGCTTGGAGGTCAGTAGAAATAAAAAACAAAGACATAATGCCTGTGGTTAGAAAAGGGGGGGATAGGGCCCCATTGTTGGTATGGAATGAAGAAATAATGTCCATTCAATGGTGTCAGTGGGAATATTGCCTCAGCATTGGTATCAGTGGGAAAAATAGCATCCCGTCATTGGTGTCAGTGGGAGGAATAGTGCTCCATCGCTGGGAGGTATTTTGCTGCAGTCTTGATGTCAGTGGAAAAAATGGTGTCTCATCATTGGTGTCAGTGGGAGGAATAGTGCGTCATATCAGTGGGAGGAATAGTTCCCCAAGGGCTGGATATAGGCAAGCAAAGGGCCAAATCTGGCCCTCAGGCCAAAGTTTGGAGACCACTGATGTAGAGAAATGGGGAAAATGTATTACACATACCTGGGCATAAATTATTGGAGGGATTACTTGATATTCATTGCATAGTGATTGTGTCTATCATATGAATTATGCTCCAATATCAATCAATTAGAGTAGCACAATGTCATCAATACATACTAGACAAAACACCCCAGGGGGATATTTGGTGAACAATTATCTTCACTTCTTTCTCCAGTGATTTGTGGACCTCCACTATTTAGGTGAAAAACCTGCTCACCTCATATATACTTAAATAAACTCATCTGGATACTCCCAGTGGCTCAACTTCTCAGACTTAGACTCCTCACTTTATTTATCTTTCAGGTTACCCATGCCTTCCTCTATCAATTGTGCTAATATGTCATCTGATATAGATCACATGAAATAGAAAGGCAAAGACATAGTGCTCACCATTTTTAAAATTTATTCAATCCCCAGCAGATAAAATTACACTTACAGAAATGCAAAAACAATTTGCTTTGTTAAAATCTGTCATCGACTTGCTCACCATTCTACATTCAGGATGGCGGCGGTGTGACGTCATGGCCTCGGCTCCTCCTTCCAAGACACATTGCACCTTCCGATTGGGCTTCTTCAGTAGCTTTATTATCACTTTAATATTTAATATTTGTTACTTTTTTTTAATATTTTGATTTATCTGAGTGTATATGTATTTTGTTTTGGATATTAACCGCTTCTGCCCGCAATGTACTGCGGACGGGCAGTAGCAGCAGGCAAAGCGACGTACCCGTACGTCGCTCTGCTCTTCCAGGTTTAGAACACGCATGTAAGAACCCCCACTGACCCCCGCTGACGTTCACTGTAGGAGGTGTATGTCAGCAAGTCTCGGACAGTGATTTTGCCGATCTCCTACAGCGAATGGAGATGTAGAGCTGTGTCTGTATTTGTATATACAGGCACAGGATCTAGCTGGTTCTTCCCTCCCTGGAACCATTTTGTTCCAGAGAGAGAAGACATCAAAAGTGAGTAGAAGCAGCACATTTGCACCCACACACATTAGATAGAGACATTTTAACCCCTTGATTGCCACATTTAACCCTTTGACTGCCCCCTGCCACTGCCATTAGTAGAGTGTCAGTGTACAGTATTTTTCACTGATCACTGTATTAGTGCCACTAGCGACGTCAGATAGCGTCAGGGTCTGTTAGCGTCCCTCCCAGCTAGGGTCAGCTAGCATTAGATTGCCTGCACATTATCGCATTCACGCTATAGATCGCTGATCACTGTCATTACTAGTATAGTGTTTGTACGGATCATTATATTGATCACGTACAAACTATACCAGTGCCCCTTAGTATTAGTGTCCTTCAAAACGCTGTGTTAGCAGGATCATCCCCGTTCGCTGCCAACACTAGCGTTTAGCCCCTCCGCTCACCCCATCCCTAACAAGAAGTGCAGTGTCAGTATAATTTCTGATCACTGTCACCTGTAATACATTGCACACAAAACCGCAGTGCTCACAGAATCAGGCTTGATCTCTGTTAGCACTTACTGGTAAATTTTTTTGTAGCTGTTCAAAAAGTCCCTGACAGCCAGGAGCTCTTTTTCCCCATGAGTCGCACTAGGTACCTGTAAATTTAGAGTCCAAAATGTCCAACCAAAGGTACACAAATGAAGAGGCATAAAGGATTCTGAGCATGTCAGGTGAGTGTGAAGGGGAAGACTTCCTGACACAATCCGCCTCAGAATATGACCCTGTAGACAGCAGCAGCACCCTGACAGGTAGCTCAGACGATGGAAAAGAGGTCCCTATTAATATCAGGTGTACCCGCCCCATGAAGCTGAAGTGCTAGGATCACATGACTTGTCTCATATGCAGCAGAGTGCCAGTACTAGTGCTGCACTACCTTTTGGTGAACTGGCAAGCACCAGCGGCCTAGTATATCCTGGTCTTTTTTTATACCAGCACCGCAGTATCAATTGGTGATATGGCGAGTCCCATAAGTGCAGTACAAGCTGGTGCGGTGGTGAGCACAAGTAGTGTCCCGCAGCCACAGGAATTTGTGCACAGGTCTGTAGAGCCCCTTGTTTCCTTCTGGACGTGCTTGCAAGTCCTGATTGGCAGCCCACAGATTCTGTAGCACCCGTACTTCCCCCATTCACTGCCCAACCCGGAATTCAGGTGGAAACAGCTAATTTAAATACTCCCCTTAATTTTTTGGAGCTGTTTTTCACAAAAGATTTGTACAATTTGATTGTGGGCCAAAGCAATTTATATGCTCTACAATATATCGCCGCAAGCCCACATTCAAACCTTGCTAGACCATTTGCATGGAAACCTATTACAGTTTCCGAATTTAATACTTTTTTGGGACTGACACTCAACATGGGCATTACAAAAAAGAATTAGTTGCAGTCTTTGTGGTCCACAGACCCGATTCATCATATGCCTGTGTTCTCTGCTGCCATGGCCAGGCATAGATATGAGACGATAATGCTCTTCATGCATTTCAGTGATAACACACTCTGTCGTCCTCAAGGTGACCCTG